CCCTCCGGATCCGGAAAACCGGGGGGGGTCACTACCGGTTCGAACCCCCCCCCCCTCGAAAACCGAGTGGGGGTGCGGACAGTGGTGGGGACGGTGTTGGTGGGGACAGTGGTGAGGGGATAGCGGGACAGTGGTGGGGACAGTGGGACAGTGGGACAGTGGTGGGGACGGTAGTGGTGGGGACAGTGGTGGGGACAATGGTGGGAACAGGGGGGGACAGTGGACAGTGGTGGTGACGGTGGTGGTGGGGACAGTGGTGTGGGGACAATGGGAATGAGGTGGAAACAGTGGGACAGTGGAGGGTACAATGGTGGTGGGGACAGTGGTGAAGGCGGTGGCGAGGACGGCGGTGGGACAATGGGACAGAGGTACAGTGGGGACAGTGGTGGGGACAGTGGGGACAGTGGTGGGAACAGTGGGACAGCTCAGTGGGACAGCGGAGGAGTCAGTGGGATAGTGGGGACAGTGGGGATAGTCGGGCAGTGGTTGGGGCCGTGGAGACAGTGGGGAGAGTGGAACCGTGGTGGGAACAGTTCTGGGGACAGCGGGGACAGTGCGACAGTGGTGGGGCCACTGGTGGGGACAGTAGGGGCGGTGGTGGAACCAGTGGGGACAGCGGTGGTGAGGACAGTGGTGCTGGGAACACCAGTGGGGGATGTGATGCGGACGGTGGTGGGGACCGGGAGTCGTTTGCTGGCGGTGAGTAGGGGGGGGGGGGGGTCCAACCGGTAGTGACCCCCCCCGGTTTTCCGGATTCCGGAGGAGGGGGGGGGGGGGGGGGGGGGGGATGGGGTTCGAACCGGTAGTGACCCCCCCCGGTTTCGAGCGGGAGGGGGGGGGGGGGGGGGAGGGGTTAGGGGAGGGGGGGGGTTTTGCCGGGGGAGGGGCGGGGGGGGGGGGGAGGGGTTCCAGCAGGGGGGGGGGGATTTTCGGAGGGGGGGGGGCGGGGGGCGACCCCCGGGTTCCGGAGGAAAAGGTTGGCAATTTTCCACAGTACAGCGGCGGTGGATCACGCTCTCTCGGATGTCGAGACAGGCCCTTTCGCGGCCGCTGGGTGGCCCGAGCGTCTCGGCGCCGGAATTGTCGCGCCCTCGTGCAGCGCGGCGTGTGAGAAAGGCCCAGGTCGCATGTGTGATCATGGGTTGGTGGGGCGAGGTTTTTTCCTGAAGTGATTATGGGCCCTGAATTGTCTGTGCCTTGGAAGACGCACTGCGGGGTCAATGTCTGTGTGAAGGCGGCGCGCACTCGGCGCTGGTGCCGCCGCCTCGTCCTGCCGCAGCCGTTTCCAACGTGCGAGCGTCTTCGTGCGCTGCCTGGCCCAGATAGCAAGTCTTCCAAGAGGAAGGAGGCTCTCCGTCGACGTAGGCATCATGATCTCCCTGCTGAGCTCCATGAGGCCTTCGACGACCTGCGCTAGCCCCAGGAGGGCCCCAGGGTGGAGGGGGCCCTCGCTATTTCTGCTGAAACATGGGACGAGGCAAACGTACCTATATTTTGGGAATGAGTTCTTGTTGCGCATGGGCCAGCCCCCTCGCGCTTGCTGGGGCACTGTGCTTCTTGTGGCCCTGCCGGGCACTTCGGCTTCCAGTGGCAGGCGGGAGCCCGCCGCTCTGTGGGCGCGCAGCGCGATCATTGGGCCGCTGTCACGGGGCGCGCAGTTTTGTTGCGTGGGGAGGTCGAGGCTGAGAAGTGGAAACAATATTCAGGTAGAGCTCGTGGGCCCGCCTGTTGTTGGAAGCTGGCCCGTTCGACTCCAGGCAGGGTGTGCATGGGTAGAGGTTGCATGATTGGGACCTAACACGTGCGCTGGTGATAAGGTATGCCTCGCTGAAGCACAGCGGTTCTGACCTCGAACGGGCAGCTCAGTGCGTCGCGAAGGCGCGCAAGCTGATCGAGCAGTTAGACGGCGCGGGCGATGGGCCCTATTTTGGCAGGGGGGCAGGGCCCCAGGATTTCTTCGCGTGGAAGGGAATGGTCGCCAGCCTGGATGCTGTCTCCTTGGATATGTTGCCTCATTTGCTGGTGAGTACTCGCGGGTGGGCTGACCTCTCCAATGCTCGAGCCACGCTGGCCTCCAGGTCCTCCTTTATGAAATGGGTCCAGGACATGTGGGCCAAGAAGCCAGTGGCCGTCCATCGCCGCGCGAGACCCGCGTCTTTCTCCATATCGGGAGAGTGGGGGCACTTGGGGCGCGGTCACTTCCGACAACCAGGCTATGCTGCAAGGTCTGGCTACTGAATGGAGAGACCCGTGGAAGGATCCGGTCGACAAGCCCCATGACATCTTGGATCTGACGCAGCGCTGTCTGGGTGAGGCTCGCGCTGCACCTTTGCCTCTCGTCGCTCTGCTGGATCTGGATGCCGTGCTGCCCAAGATGAAGGCGAAGGGAGTGGGCGCGATGAGCCCGCTGGACATTCAGCGCCAGCCAGACCAGGCTCGCCAGGCCTTTGTCGACAACGTGAATGCAATGAAGCTTGCTGGAGTTAGGCCCATGGCTATCAGCGCAGTGCTGGGCGCTGCTATTCCGAAGGAGTCAGGGGGTTGCAGAGTATTCGGCCTCGTCCCGATGACGCGAAAGCTTCGGGAGAATGGTAGGCGTCGTTGTCGGATTCTGGGATGCCGCGATAGCTGGATCTTCGGCTCTGCGCGCGGCGTTGACTCGGGCTGTGATGGGTGAAGGTGCTTGCGACTTGTTCTTCGAGCGCGTGGTGCTCTTCCACGACCTCATTCAGTTTTATGACGCGGTGAGCTTTGTCTTGTTAGTGCAAGCTGGCTTGAACAGTGGATTCCCGCCCAATATATTCCTGCTGGAGGTTGGCATGTATTTTGCCCCTCGGCCCCCGAAGAAAGGCCAGGTGATCTCGGATGCGATTGATGTTGCCCGCTCTATTGTCGCTGGTTCTGGGCATTGTGTTCTCTTGGCCAAGGTGATGCTTCACGGGCCGCTGGGCTCTGTGCACCGCCCGGTGCCCCCTGCGGGCTTGTGGAGCTACATCGGCGGCGTCGCCAGCAGAGCGGAGGGGTCCAAGCAGAAGGTCATCGCCGACATGGAGGCCGCGGCAGATGTCATGGCGGCAGGATTGGCCCAGCTACGCTTGCATATATCATCTAAGACCAAGCTTGTGACCAGCTGTGATGATCGGGATGGGGCTGCAGAAGAGGCTGAGGAAAAAGGGTACCCCTGTGGAATATGTTCGAACGACGGTGGACCTTGGCCCAGACGCTGCGGCTTCACGCGGACGTGGTGCGGCCAGCATGGTGAAACGACGTGTTCGAGCTAGACGACGCCAGAAGACAGTGATAAGGGTGCGACGTTTAGGACGTGAGATTTGTGACAAAGAGAAGCTGTGGAACACTGGGGTTTACCCCGCATGGCTATTCGGCCATCAGATCATGGGAACCCCTCCTACGACGCTGTTGACTATGAGAAGAGATGCGGCTCCTGCTGTAGCGGGCACCAAGAGAGGCAGATGTTTGACGACGGTTCTCCAGGCGGTGCATGGCACGGCTGATCCAGGAGTTGATTTCAGAAGGCGGTTGATTCGCGAATGGGTCGTTCTGTGGCTTGCCCAGCCGTGCCTGCGCCCCGGGATAAAGGAGGCTTGGCCCTTGGTTCCGGCGAAGCTCAAGCAGGGCGCAGCCAGTCGCTGGAATGTTCGGGGACCGATCGCGGCACTGCAGGCGACGTTAATCCAGGCTGGGTGGGATCCACAGTCTCCGCTGGTTTGGTCTCGCCCGCTCTCGGACGGCACGATCGACGATGGAATTTTCCCCAGCTTCCGTGATGAGCAGTTCGGCACAGCGGTGATGGCGCACTTCGATGATATGGTTGGCGCTTTCACGGATGATTGTATTGCGCAGCAGTGGCAGGCAGCTTCTCAGTATGTTGCAGGCGAGGACTTGGTTGGTGGCGCCGACGTGACGACGGTGCGAATCGAGCTGAATCGCTTCGCCAAGCGCATGCAGTTTGAGGAGTGGTCCGCCGACCTTGCAGTCGCGGAGGGCGGCCAGTGGACTCGTGGGAGGCAGATTGCCGCAGGCTGCGCCTGCCCGCCCGTGCGCCCCCGCTGTAAAGAAGGGCTTGAAACTTTAGTGCGTCGCATGTGGGCGTGCCCCGCGAACCGCGGGCGCGAGGATTTTGAGGAAACTGATTTCCTGGTTCCAAGCTCTCGCGAGCCCATGCGAAGCCTGCGTTGTGGCTCCGCGGAGTGCCCCCCTCAGGACCTTGTGGTGCCTAAGTTTGTGGAGACTCCTGGGGTGGCCCAGCAGGTCCTTCTTGGGGTGGGGACTGTTTCGGGCCATTGTGTCGCCCCAGGAGGCCCCCCCTTGCGCATCTTTGGGGATGGCTCTGGGGGCGAGCGCAGCGCGGACCCCGGGAGGGCGATGCGGCTCGACGATTGTTCACCAGCCTCGAACGCATCCCTATCCCTAAGATTGACACGCCAAAGGCGATGACAGTCTTAGGGATTCGCCTTCAACAAAAAGAAGGGAATCCTTACGATTGGCATCGTGGTGAGGAGGTGCCCAGCGTAGGGGTAGGGATATGTTCCAGGCTGGTAATTGTTGTCCTGAGCCAGGATCCCTCGTCGCCCTTCTGGGGCCCCGTGTGCGGCGTCGCCGAGGTCCTGGTCGGTGGGAAGCATACTGCGCCGCGTGCTGAACAACGAGCTTTCGGCTTAACTCTTGAGTGCCCGCAGGGCCCTATCAGCTACGTGACTGACTGAAAGAATTTAGTTTCCGATTGGCACTCTGGTCGTGCCGAGTCTCCTCGGGGCCAAAACGGTGACTTTGGGGCCGGGTCTGGCGCGCCCTGGTGGCGCGCGTTTTTTTTTTTTTTTTTTTTTTTTTGTGCTGTGGGCCCCCTCGCGCCGAGAGGAAGAGTTACATTCGGTCAAGACGGAACTCGAGTTGTTTTTGAGCTTGGGCAACGCCTGTGCCGACGCGTGGGCGGGCGCTGCGGCCCAGTGGGCCTGGGGCTGGTGCGCG